AAAAAATCTGTGAGCTATATATTTAATTATCTCTTAGGAAGTAATATTTAATTAAGCTTTCTGTTTTTGTAATGTTTATTTATGTAATATCTTATAAGTAAATATTTATTTATGTACTATCTTATAAATAAATGTTAATTTATATAAAATATTTCTGTAATATTTTACAAATAAAGGTTCATTTATGTAAATGTATACTCAAATAATAATATAGAGATATTCTAGTCCCAGCCCCTTACTTCTATTTTCCTCAATCTGACATTTAAAACTTTTATAGTCAATGAGAACCATTTTTCTAAACAAATGTTCCACAAATAGAATATTACACTCTGGGGCCTGGGCTATATCCAACAATATGGAGTAGAATTAAACACAACTAAAGAAATATTTTGAATCATTCGACTCGTTAACTCACAAACTAAAGTATGTTAATGTTTGATGTTTATTGAATAATCCAAATCTTAGAACATATAGAATAGAAGATGCGGTTTTGACAACTTTTTCAATGTTATATTATCTCACTGCGACAATTTGATTGGTGTTATTGATGCAAGTTCCTGTACTATATAGTGTTTTTGCAATTCATTAAAAAAAACAAATTCTCATATTTTTCCAGAAGTAACTTTAATGAATGTTTACATTTACTTATTTAACAAGTCGTTCATTTAATTTCCACATGATTAGTCGTTTCGTAAAACATGTTTGTAAAGATGTGACTTACTGCGAAAAAATATTTCGCAAACATGTGTAGATCGTCGAAAATAGTTCAGAAAAGGGAAAAAAGAAGAAAAAAAACATCGTGGAGCCTATGAGACCAAACATTTAGTACCCGAACCCACATGGACTAACATGTAAAATCTCCCTTTGCAATTTATTAATAATCTTGTATATATAAAACACACACACACCAACACACTTAAATTTCTATATAGTTCTGTTCACATATATAATATGCTCTATTCAATTATGTGCATTATTGATGTAAAAATTATGTGTATTATTTAAGAAAGTAATATGAATTAAAGTTTTCATTTAATTTATGTGGTGTATAAATCATAGAAAGACATAAAGTGTACTTATGATTGTATGATCCACATATCATTCTATTATCACAGTTAATTTCTTGTCAGATGACATCGGTCAGGGCTATATGACAGACCCGGCGAAAAAAGTCATTCTTATCTATTATATTAAAACAGAATTTGTTTTCAAACACTTCCAAAGTTTTTTTAAAAATATTTTATATATTTATATAAATTTAATTCCGAAAATTAGATATTAATTTAGATAACTAAAAATTTCCTTAAATATAGGTTATATCTATATTCTATAGATATTAATTTAAATAGATTTCCTTAAATATAGGTTAGATTTAAATTAATATTTGAAATTTAAATAAAATTTTCAGAACAACACATATGATTAAAAAATATCTTATTATATTTTTTAATCATATTATATCAGATTAAAATTTCACATATTAAAAATAGATAAATATTAATATTATATAATAATTTGATGGGACAAGTTAAGTTTTTTTGTTAGATTATAAAAGCATGCATGATATTAAGAGAAAATTATTTCAAAATTAGTAAATAATTATATTATAAAATAATATAAACGGGCGGATTAGAATTATGGTATCATAAACATGGTTTTTCGTATTAATAAAATGAGCGAGTTAGAAATATATTTTTATAATAACAATCACTTTTTAATTAATAAATAATCGGGTTTAAATTATATTTTTATGATCATGATGGTCATAATAATATTGAAAAAATGTATATCTAAACACAATTTTTTTTATACCACTTATTAAAAATTTATATTTATAAAGAAAATATAAATTTTGATTTAAACAAAATTCCCGTGCGGATGCACGGGGTAAAATCTAGTACATATTAAGTCAAGTGAGAGTGTCTAACCAATTTTTTTTAAAGTGAGATAGTAACATGTATTTTGTAAGAAATTTCAAATGAGAGTGTTGGTTGGAATTTGACCTACTCAACCTTAAAATGAGAGTGACTTATCTTACTGTAGTAATAAATTGTCACACCATACAAATAAATATTTTAGGGGAGAATGAGAGACTTAAATTTGAGAAATTAGCATCTATGACAATAAAAAAGACAAATTAACATAATAATTATATTGAGTCCATGGCTAGAATATTATTGTGTGTATAACATGTATTATTGGCTAAAATACTCTTATGTTTCGTCTTTTGTTTTTTTCATTCTCTTTTTCATGTTGCTGCTTCTTCTTCTTCTTCCTTATGCGTCTTCTTCCTTCTTCTTCTTTTTTCACGCTGATCAAGATTAAGTAGGATCTCTCTCTCTCTCTCTCATTCCCATAACTGAATTTTGCAATTTAGACAAATATGAGAGGTCATCAAAATTTGTGTTGAGTACTATACTCTTTTCATCATTTAAATAGTATAGTACATTATTTCTATCTAATGTACATATGCATTTTGTCCATTATTTCTTATATTTGTTAGTGGTTTAAATATCAAATTCTTATAGCTATCTTTTGTCTCCCCAATATAACTACTCACCTATTAATTCACCCTTAAATTTTTTCGAAAAAGAAATAGATAACAATAATGTGTTCACACAAATAAATATATTTTCGAGTGTTACATACTTGTCGGATCTTTATTGATAATGTTATTGGAGAACAAGATATCTAAATGTTTGATCTTATGGACCCGAAGGCAGCATGTAGCACGAGACATGGGTGTGACACGTGTCATAGTTGATGTTATGAGACTTTTTGTATTAATACTCAACCAATAATGGACCAATCCATCTCAATTCTTAAATAAGTTATATGAATGAGACATGCAATTTTTATCACTTCAGTATAAAAGTTTAATAATAACTAATTCTTTAGTCAAAGTGTAAGTGTACGGAGAAATTTATAAAAGGTTTGATTAGTACGAGACTAAATTTATCGAACTTTTTAACATTAGACTAGTTAGTTACATTTTGTTAGATATATAGAGTAGTTGTTAATCAGTTAGTTAGTTGAGCGTAATTATGACACTTGTATTGTTGTGTTTAAAGGATTATATAAATAAACTGAAAAAGTTCATTCCTCAATCAAACAAGTAAAAATGTAAAATACATATTTCTTGTTTTTAATTTTGCCTCTTTTTATTAGTATTATTATTTATTTACTTTTTGCTTCTTCTTCTTCGAAAAGCTTCAACGCTGAAGCTATGATATTTCAAATGGAAAGAAAAAAACCAATTGAGATGTGTCTTTTATGCATTTAAATTAGTTCTCTCGCTTTGTTAAAAGTTGATTTTTGTTTTATATTTGCTATATTACGATTATGTGGACTATCTATATATAGTTTTTTCTTAAAATATCAATACTCTAGTTTGAATATGAGGTGAAGCTATATATTGCTTAGCAGCAATCAGTGTTTCATATGAGTGATATATGTATAGTTTGGTGTCTCCATCTAAAGATAAACACCAAAAGTTTAGTTTAAAAAGGTAGGATTAACATGTTTCTCTCTATCCTCTTTTTAGAATCTTGATGCTACGTTTATTTATAGCAAAATCTATTTACCTATGGAGAAACTTACGAGATTACAGAAGAACTATGAATAGGTATATACAAACTGCACACATACATATTGTGAATAGTTTCTATTCTTAACGAGTGACCTAAGTAGTGTCTAATTTCCCCCAACTTCAGTCACACCCATCAACCAAGAGAGGGAGACGGCATGGTGGACATGTTAGTTTAGAATTTCTGCAATTGATATAGTACATCTTTACATTTGCATCGTTTATTTTGAGATTTTTATTATCGAATCAAAAAATTATTTAATTTTTTTTTATATGTCTTTTCACATTTTAGGAGATGTTCTAAAAAAGAGCTATTTTGGTAAATGAAACTTAATGTTCTCTTTAATTGACACTTTTGTTTTTATTGGTTATTTAACGAATGTTTTGTGTTAAGAAACAAAAAAACACTATAGATAAAAAAAAATTGTAAATTTTTGCTAAACTGAGATTAATTAATCAGGCCACATTACAAATTCTAATGTTACAAAATAATAATATAAAATGAGATGAAAAGTCATGTCATCACATGGTATTTGCTTTTTTGTGACATTGCAGATGAAGGGCCACAATGTTAGATCAACACGAAACATTTATCTTTAATCTCCTTGACCTTCATCAACCCCATCTTTGGGAACTCTTAGTTTCCTCCACTTAACTATTCAAATCTCCTCCAATTATTCAAACACATTTACATATCCTGTATAGTACGACTTATTTATTTATTTATTTATCCTATATAGGAAAATATAGTATAACAGTTAATTTATAATAACATGGGGCTGGGGTATATACCATCACGATTGTTTTTTTCTCATAATTTTTTCTAATCAATTTAACTACATATTTTTCATTAGTTCATAAGTATAATTGTATAATCAATTAATGGATTATCTTTTTATTTTTGAGTTTATATTATTTTTTCATTTTTGCAAATAGATATCAAAATTAGGTTATCTAGTGCATATCCTCTTGTTTCTATATCATCGTAAACAAATTTGAATATGGTGTTGCAAAGAGAAAATAAGCATTTATCTTGCTATTCATGTGATCCGTTCTAGTTCCTATGTTTTTGTCACTACACTAATTAGATAATCAGGGGATTAAATCTGAATCAAAAACAAAACTAATCTAAATCATTTCTTGTGAAAAATCTTGATTCGAACACTATTTTGGTATTAAGATCCGTTATATTCGACTTGATGCAATATGAAAATACAATAAGGCTCGGAAATATGTGATTTTTTTTTAAAAAAAGGGGGAAAAAAAAGATTAAAAAGATTTGTGGTTAAAGGGCATTCAAAACCTATCGCTTTCTTACCCCGTGATATCATTGTCGAGGTTTATTGCTCTCCGTCTCTCTCTTGTGGTCCTTTTGGCCTATTTAAATCTCTCTTATCACATTCTCAATTTCTTTATATTTCAAGTGTACTATTCAAAAACCCCAAAACACTCTCTCACTTTTCTTCTTGCTTTCCGTTTTTCTTTCTTGTTGGTCTTTTCTTTTCAACTTAAAAACCTTATCAAATCATAAAAGCTATATACCTACTTGCCACATAGCTTATCTCATTTCTCCATTTCACTATTCCTCAATATATAGAACTTGTTCAGTCTAGTGAGATAGAGAGAGAGCTAGAGAAGAAACAAACAACTTAAGGGGTTTTTATTTGCCACATTGTAGAATATGTCTAACAGAAGATCAAGACAATCTTCAAGTGCTCCAAGGATCTCTGATGATCAAATGATCGACCTTGTAACAAAGCTCCGTCAGATTTTGCCGGAGATTGGCCAACGTCGTCGTTCCGATAAGGTATTATAACGAGTAACGACCATTCAACTTTTGTTTCTTCGTGTAAAGCTCTTTTATCCAAAACAAACGTTTTATTAAAAGAAGAGGACACAAAATCAAACAAAAGAAAAAAAGAAGTCTGAACTTTTTGACTCTGACATCAAAGAACAAAACTATATATATATTCACAACATTTTTCCCCCATAGACATACAGTTTCCATCAAAATCATCGCATGTATGTATCTACTTTCACATACGCATGCATGCACATATACATGCATGATGCATGCATATCATCTATGTATATATATACTCATGAGTCATGACATTTCTTTTTGACTAATTATATAAATAGGTCTCAGCCTCGAAAGTGCTGCAAGAGACATGCAACTACATACGAAACTTGAACAGAGAAGTTGACAACCTCAGCGAGCGTTTGTCTCAGCTTCTCGAGTCCGTGGATGAAGATAGCCCTGAAGCAGCCGTCATTAGAAGCCTACTCATGTAATCGTTAATGAGTTTCTATATATATTTGTAACCCTAATCGTCCTTAATTCCTGCTTAATTGATGTACGAACTTTTAAAGAAAAGGGCTTGATCTTTAGACCTCGTGCCGACTAAGAAGCATGATCACCGTTTTGGCTTATGTTTTCCCAACCCGCCTTTTTGTTTACACTCAAGGAGAATAGTACCGCATAAATAGTTAATAAAATAAAAATGAAAATTCGTTAAAAACAGAATGTGCGGCTCAAAAAGAGTGAATGAATTTTATGGCTCACATAATTTGAAGCTTATATATAGATTAATCACACCAATTAAAGAATCATTTAATATTAAATTTTATTTTTCCTTAAACTAATACATTATCTACGTAAACATAATCAACCAATGACAAAACAATATACATAATGTAAATAATAAAACAATTAATTAATTTTGGATTGAAAGTTGAAAACATCATATATTTTGAAATACTTCTTTTTTCTAAACATCACTTATTGTGAAGGATTCTTTTTGTTGTAAACTATAAAATTTTACCAATTAATTTTATCAATGAATAATTCTTTTTTTTTTTGGTCATAGAGATCGATATAAATATGTATTTAAAAAAAATATTTTCAAGTGTTAAATTTAGCCAAAATGAGGTAGTTATTCATATCGTTACCGCAGTTATATAATCATCAACAACAATTAAAATAATTATTCCGAACAATTTTTTCTACAGTTACCATCAAATATACGAATTTGGTCCCGCAATATTGCATTTAACTCCATAATCAAAAGTCTCCGACATATATATGTGTAGCAGAACTGCATGAGTGCAGGTGAAGAATCTCTCTCCCTTAAACCCTTTTCGCAAAAAAAAAAAAAAAAATCTCTCTCTCTCTCACATTCATTATTTAAAAATAAATAAAAATCAATTGGATGAATTTTGATGGAAAAGAATCTTTCTTTTTTCTCCCTAAACAAGAGATTGTGATGTCTGAACTCGATTGTGTCAGTCAAGGACAGGGAAACTGCGAACACTTACTATTTGTATATTGACAAATATTTGATATTGAGGTAAAAAACCTTAACGTTCAAAAATAGATATAAAATCAAAAATAGCAACTGAAGACAAAAAATAATATCAAACTGAAAACAACAATTCTGGGGAAATATCAAATGGCACAAAATATATATAGAAAAGTGCTAAATTTATGTTTACCAAAATACAAATCTCTATGAATTTTTAAATATAAAAAAACTCATACAACAAGAGAACAAAAAAAATTAAATACATTTATGGAAAATCTGTCTGTGAGCTAAGTAAGCTGATAGTAATTTTACTGGATAACAAATGCTATAATTTTCAATAAATTAAAGTGTCGTTTATTGACATTCTCAGTGTTGATATCAGCGCTGCTCGTTTATATATATATATATATATATATATATATATCTTTACTCTTGAAAATCAAATTTCAAATTTTAACACTGAACAATCTTCAATGCCCAATACCTCAATGTCTAAATATATGTATATCTAGAAAATAATTGCCTTCATCTTTAACCATAACCACAAAATCACCAATTCACAAGATGTGACAATCAATTTTAGAATAATAACTATTACACAAACCCACACACTAAACAGTTGGCTTCATATATCTATATATATATAGTGTGTTACCGATGTACTTTTAAGTTTCTAGTATCCAAAACAGGTTATTTTGAAGTTTTAGTTACCAAAAAATATATTTTTCTTTTATTTGGTTGAGACAAATGAATGTTTTAACCATTTTGTCTCTTTTTCTCATACACCCCTTATAATTGTTTGTTATTATTTATCTATTATTTAAAAAATAGTTGAATAATTATTTTGATACTATAAATTATATAATTTTTTACTTAATACTTTGATACCTATTTTATATTTTTTAACTTAAATTATTTTATTTTTTAGTGATAAACACATACGTATCCATATAATCGCGTTCACGTGGACACAAAATATATGGATATCTATGTAATTATATATATATATATACATATACATATTCATATAATATTGTACACGTGAACACACATATATAGATATCTATGCAATTATATAGATATAAATATATATATATATATATCCATATACATAAAGTATAAATAGATGTAACTTATTTTGTTCTTATATTTCGATACATATATATTTAAATATATATCTATATAGTTACATATATATACAATTATAGAAATATATACATATTTATATGTATATATTATAGATAACTATATAAATATAAAGTTAAAAAATGGAAAAAAATGAAAAAAAGGCAAAAATATCGAAAAATAAGAACAAAATAAGTTAAGTCCACCATTTCTAAAAATTGTCTTTTTTGGCAGTTATACTTTCAAAAAGTATACCTGATAATAATATTCTCATATATATATATATATATATATATATATTATAATTTCATATTAGAATAGTTTCACCAAAACATGAATAGTTTCATATTTCATTCAACGGGACAAGAAATCTATTTTCTATTTTTAGAAATGTCCTTAGAATTATGAGAAAACCTACTATAACCTATTAATTTATATGTAAAGATAATATAAATAAACTGAAAAAAGTATTGCATAAAAAAAAAATTCCTAAATAAATAACATAAATCGTTTACAAGCAGTGCGGGTCAAGAAAAAGTTGAATTAAACGAGTCTTTTAAATTATTGTACCTTATAAATCTTTTCCTTAGTTGGCTGAGCATGCAACCTCCAAATTAAATCCATGCATTTTGTATAGTACGTCACTTTAATATCATTGTCCCCTCAACTATGTTTTTAATATAATGTTCTCATAAAAAATATTTTTCTAATATTATATCTCTTTTTTTGTTTGTTAAATCTACTTTAATATCATATATACACGAATATTTAAAACCAGTCCAACCTCTCAAGGTCTGGTCTAGTATATTTTAGTATATTTTTAATGGATAAGTAAGAAAATGTCTAAAAGGATAACTGATGTTTGCAAAAGCGTGATTGATTGTTTTATTTGCAAATTATAGTTTCATGTTTCAGTTTTAGTGTTTTGTTTGATCACAAAATACATTTGTAACATTTCTCAGGTCATATTTCATCAGCTTAATTCTCCTCTCCACCTACTTTACAATCTCTAGTTAATTTTTTTTTCCTTTTTATTTCATGTAACATAAATCTACTTTCCCCATATTCTAATAGTTACATGAATCATAGAGAAAATAACCTTTTACAGGCTACTCTAAGAAAGATGTAAAAGTACCAGTTTACTGTTAAGTAATCTAACATAAATACATAATACCTTTTTCATGATTTTCAAGCAAATTTTTAAAAATCTAATAATTGAATTTTACATATTTAATTTTAATTTTTTAGCTGATTTAAATTTGAGAGAAGTACTATTAAATATATTTTTTGAGACTTTTCTGTTCATTATAAGCACCAAACTGTTTTGACACAGTTTTCTCTTATATCTCATAACTTTATTGATCTGGTTTTGCTTTTGTGTTTCTTTACCCTCTTTTTAATTATTTTGTACCCTTTTCTCTCTTCTCCTCTACATTATTTTCAGACTTCTACATATCAACGATTATTCTCATATTTAAAAATAAAAACAAAAAAATCATCAAATTGGTTAATCAAATAACAATATGTATTTAATCAAATAACAATTAATCAAATAACAATAATTGTTCAAAGTATTTGACGAAATTTCTAAAAAAAACATGTATATCTATATAATTACATACATATGTACTATATATACGTAAATATGCATATGTATCTATATAGCTATGTACATATATACTATATACACATAGATATGCATATGTATCAATATAATTACATACACGTGTATCATATGTGTTTGAATATATATATATATATATATATATATTTAATAGGGGTTTTGCTAAAAATAATCTAAAACTTGACTTTGAATACAAAAGTAGACCCCTGAAAAAACATTTGGCAGAAATAACCTAAAGAGGTAATGAAAAAACCATTTAATCTTGTATGAGTAAACAAAAAACGGATGTCTTAATTACCGTTTACACCCTGATGAAGTCTACTAAAGAGAGAAAGAAGTCTAATAGTAGACTTCTTTTATCGAAATAAAGTCTACTAAGTAATTAAATCTGGAAAATTAATTTTAAAATTTAGAAAAAATTATTTTGGTATCAAATTTACATTCATAAATTCCGTAATCGTAACCCAAATGTACAGAAATTATTTTTTCATATTGCTAATTGGAAATTTATGTTTTTAAACTAAGTAGAAGTAAATTAATTATTTAGGTTTTAAAAGTTGTAGATTTTTATATTGAAATCTGCTAAACCGAATAAATTAACCTAACCAAAATTTAAACTGAAATTAAACCGGAAATAACTTCCCTTAACAAAAAAAAACTGCCCGTAACCGGGTAAATTTACCTAGATCCCGTAAAATTAGTAACCCTAACCGAAAAAAACTTACCCGAACCGAACGGAATTATCAGACTATATAAAGGAATTTTACAGATCCCGTAAAAAAAAACCATCAAAAGTTCATGTTAAAAAAAAAAAAAAATCGAAGCCGATTTCTGTTTCTCTTCTCTGGCGCCGCCGACTTACAGAACCGCCGCCGATAAACCCGTTCAGGAAAGTTTTCTTCCTCCAACCACACCCCCATGCTTCCCTACTCCTCCGTATTCATCACCTTTCCGTTTTCGTAACCACCAGTGTCCAGATCTGAAATTAGGTTTTTTTTTTCTTTGCAGATCTGCTTTCGCCGCTGGAGGTTAAAGTCATTTCCTGCCTCAAAAAGGTTAGTAGATGTCCTTCCGAAGATATATACTTAGCTATTCCTCTATTTCTTCTATCTTCCTGTAATTTTGTCTGTCGGGTTTGAGTACTTAGGTTTTTTTTCCCAGATCTGGTTGCATTTTCTCGACGCCGGCATCATCTAATCACGGGTGTAAACACTATAAACTTTGTAGATTACATTTGGATGATTGGTTTTAGTAGACTTCATATACAGTATTTATCATGTATTGATTGCTTCGGGTGGGTTCAGTAGACTGCATATGCAGTATTTATGATGTTTTGATTGCTTCATGTGGCTTCCGTAGACTTTATATACTGTTTTTTTTATGTTTAGATTGCTTCGGTTGGCTTCAGTAGACTTCTCGACTTGCATTGTACTTAGAATGTGAAAGTAGACTTCCTTTGGCAAAAGTAGACTTCTTTGGCAATAGTAGACTTCATTTTGCAAAAAAGTAGACTTCATTTTGTAAAAGTAGACTTCATGTTGCAAAAGTAGACTTCATGTTGCAAAAGTAGACTTCATTTTGTAAAAGTAGACTTCACTTTGAAAAAGTAGACTTCATTTTGATAAAGTAGACTTCATTTTGAAAAAGTAGACTTCATTGTATAAAAAAATAGACTTCATTTTGTAAAAGTAGACTTCATTCGTGTATAGTTTCAAACCGTTAGTTATAACTAGTTTTCTCATTAGAGCTTTGTTACCGTTGATGCAGAAATCTGTGTTAGATAATGGTGGCCTCTGAATTCCCTAGAAGACTGTACACCAAAGGCGGTGAGCCAGCCCCGGATAAAAGCATCGGCTATTATGCTGATGATTATAGGCTGGTACCTGCACTAAAGTCTGCTCTACAAGAGGATGAATGGGAAGAGATTTACGAGTCACCGTTGGGTGTCTTTTTAAAGTTCCACGACTTGGATTTTAGTTGGGCTTCTAGGCTGGTGCACCACATGCTGACATTTCAGATAGTTTGCAAGCAGAGGTACGAGATATGGAGCCTGATTGGTACCACTCCAGTTCGGTTTTCATTGCATGAGTTTGAGGAGATCACCGGACTCAACTGCGGGTACGTGGATGACTTGGCTGTAACTGATCTTGAACTTTCCGATGACATGCGTGCATTTTGGGAGCTAATGGGGGTCGATGTCGAGTCGGGCCAAAGCACTATCGAAATTATTGAAGCCTGTTCCAACTGCTCATCATGGTCTCAGGATGATAGGCTGCGGTTAGGATATCTTGGGATCTACGCTGGTTTCATAGTGGCAACGAGACCAGGCTTATCCACAAATGTCAACCATGCCAGACTAGTGATGGATCTCAAAGGTTTTAAGGAGTTCCCATGGGGAAGAATTGCTTTTCAGCATCTGATAAAGTCTGTTAAGGAGAAAGATCTCAGCAAAAACATTCATATAGAAGGATTTGTGCAAGCTCTTCAAGTGTGGGTGTACTATGCTCTGCCGGATTTTGCTGCTGAATTTGGCGAACCATTGCCAAATGATCCTACACCTCTTATGCTGGCTTACAAAGCATCAAGAGGACATAAGAACGTCAAAGCCAACATGCTAAAACATGTACTGTCGTCTAGTCATTCTCATTTATAAGTCTTGTTCCGTAGTAGACTTCTATGTAGTAATGAATTTTCAAAGTAGACTTCAGAAGTAGACTTCATGTGTAGACTTCTATATAAAATCTTGATAGTGGGAGACTTCAGTTGTAGACTTCAATAGTAGACTTCAATGGTAGACTTCATACGTAGTCTTTCCAGGCTTCATATGGCTAGTAGTTCATTTACTTATTGTGTTTTTCCAGGCTCGCATACAGTGCTGTGTGGCTAAGGACTTGGCGGATATGTTTCCACTGTGGGATGATGAGGAACAGGATCCGGATATTGTCAAGATTGTCAATGCAATCCATGAACTTTATTTCAAGTTCTCAAAAAACCACTGGCCTTTGGAAGGTGTTTTGGGTGCACACATCGTCAAGGCATAAGCAGGAAAGAGGAGTCTTCCCTCAGATGAATCAAGTCGCAAGAGACCCTGCACAGCCTCTGCCTCTGCCGCTCTTTCGTTGGTGATGAAGGGGTCGGAGTTGTCGCTACTATGAAAGCGCACTTCGACCAATGCTTCAAAAGCTTTTCAACCAAGATGCTGAATTGTCTTGGTAGCTGTGAAAAAGAGATCAAACTTCTCACCGACAAGGTTGAATCTGTAGAGCGCGCGGTAGAGGAGTTGAATACAGGGTCGACGAAGCACACTGAGGAAGAGGTTAAGGACAATGTTCAGCCAACCCAGCAGCAGGTCACTGGATCCAAGAAGCATGAAGGGGTTAGTACCAAAAACCTTCCGCCTATACGAAAACATTTCATGCGAACAAGATCATCAAAAGATAGGAACACTTAATACTAATGTCATTTGAATTCGAACATGTTTAATAGTGCTATGTACTATGTGAGATTATTTACTTATGTTTTAAAAACTAGTTGTTTACAATTTTCAGACTATGATGAAACATGTTACTAAATTACAGCAATGGTGTTGTCATTTGTATAATCATTTATGTTTGTGACAATAAACTGCAGAGTAATTCAGAGAAAGAAGATTCTCTGATGAAAGATAATATCAACGTTGGTGCGAGTGAGAGTGTTAACGCCTCCGGGGATGCAAAAGGAAAGAAGGCTGCCATGAAGGAAGAAGAGGCCCCTGAGCCTAGCTTTTGTGAAATTGACCCGAAGACGTGTGATGTTGACTTCGACGCAGTTGCACTAGCCAAAAATGCGAAAGCCAGAGCAGCGGCTCAGATAGTTACCATAGCAACAAGTGCCAGAAACCGACAGCTGGCTGCGACACAGAAGAGTCCTTTCTTAGGAAATAGCACCACAAAGGCGATCATTCCAACGTCGGCATCTCACTCCGGCCATGTCCGTGGATATGATCCTTTTGATCAAACTGGTGTCAGGGCTAAGCATACCACTCTAATGAACTTTGTGAAAGCAAACCCGTAAGTAGACTTCTATACTTATGTAAGTAGACTTTCTCATATTATTATTTTCCTGTCTGACTTTTTCACTTATACAGTGCATATCCAAGACGTCCAAAAAACTCTTCGATCGACTGGTATTACATTCTCCGGACACCTAAGAAATGTCTATCTGATACGGTTAGTGTTTTACTATTTCATATTAGACTTCATAGTTAGACTTCATACATAGACCTAACATGTAGACTTCTATAGTAGACTTCGTTTGCAGATTTCACTCATGTCTTATTTTCATCAATATGCAGCACATGGAAGCTTATATTAACGTACTCAGGCTGCGATTATCCAAGCATCCGGAGTGGTTTGTATCCGACCGGATTTGCTTCCTCAACTCCATGTTTGCTACGATTTGGAGGCGTGACTACAATGACGTCAAAAACTCTGAGCCGAATGAAGATGGTTCTGGCAAACTTCTACCACCTGGAGCGTATTCGTACTACACTGGCGAATTATCTATCTACTGCCAGACTAAAAAGACGTGGGCCTATGAAGTCGACCATTTGTACTCAATGTTGCACATCAAGGGGGCCCATTGGGTAGCTATCTGGGTTTCATTTGTGACGAGGCATATCATGATATGGGATAGTCATGCGGGAACCAAACATGCATCTGACGCTTTATTGACGAAACTGTGGAGCCTCTTGCTGTTATGATACCTACCTTCTTCAGACCTGTGCACCTGATGAAGACAAGTGGAGATTCCCCTACACGCCGTTCACCCATTCACGAGTACCAGGTACGGAGATACCTCAAAACATTCAGAGTGGTGATTGCGGAGTCTACTGCCTGAAGTACATCGAGTGTCATGCTTTGGATTTTCCATTTCCGCCACAACTTTGTGATAAAAACATTCGGCAAATCAGGGAAAAAATGGCTGCAGAGATCTTTGACGAAATAGGTGCTAGGGGCCATGATAAGCTAGATGCAAACGGGCTGGATGTCTATGATAGGAAAGCTTAGGATTTCCGTATTTAAAACTAACTTTGATTTTTATGGTAACTTTTGGGCTACTTGCATAAATGACTTTCAATGTGATTGCAGGTTATTTTAGCGATTGGTAGATGATAGGTGTGGAAGTTTTTTGGCCACCTATCGTATAATTAAAATGCCAAATATGTTGTATTTTTGTTTAGGATATTGTAATTAAACTGAAGTCTACTAAGTTGTAATTGTATTTGTACTGAAGTCTACTAAGTAATTAACATATTTGTATTTATAAGTTTCGATTTCACCCTAAACACTGAATCCTGTGAAATATATTGAACATGCACTCCTGATAGTGTATACGGAAAAACGTTTAGTAGAACTCTAAATTTAAGTCTACAAACGAAGTCTACTACAGAAGTCTACTAATGTCATTTAAACATATAAGTAAACACAAAAAACATAAAACATAGAGTCCAGGAATTGTTTTCCAGAATATGGCACATTCTAACTTCCAGAAGCAAGGACTGCAGAGTTTGTCACCATATGAGTCGACAAGGCTTTCATCATCCATCCAGTTCTGGTTTGGCAGATTCATACAAGCACAACTCCTTGATTGTGCCTTAGCAAAAACATGGAAGACCGGTTCGTAAAACTCGTCAGGCTTCTTATAAGTGGTCGGACACTTGTTGATGTGATGCATAGTCTTCCTCATCTTCGTTGCCTCTGCCGGAAGTAGACCACAAATGTGGTTAAATACATCATGGCTACCATCCATGGTTAAAGAGAACATAACCATGGAGTAAGTAGCCATGAGGCATCCTCCATTGGATGACACCTTTATTAAATCAAACCCTGCTTGGATGCTGTCTTTATAGAAGACTAGAAAAATGCTTCGTAGGTATTGCGCTGTAGGATTTCTACACTCCAAACAGCGCCGAAAGAAAGCGTCAACCCTCCCATGTTGATCCCAGACCCATGGAATGGTCAAAGTTATTAGATCAACGGCTCTTAGAAAACCCTCTTCATTAGAAATCTCATTTAGATGTTTGGAAAAAACCCTTGCTTTACAGAGCACAGCGTAGGAACAAGGTGATTTTTAAGAGGATATCCCACAGAATGTCGGAAGGGAGAGAGTTGAAGTTTATCAGGTTCGACATCTTCTAAGGGTCTGGAATGAAACTATAATTCGTCTAAACCCGAGAATTTATAAGCAGAAATATCGTAGACAAACAGGTACAACGGTTAACGCACCGTTAAAGTCGTTAAAGCAGTTACTTAAATGAAGTTGTTTCAAACATAACCGTAAACAAAATATCACATACATAGTAGACTTCGACAGTAGACTTCCATATTAGACTTCTATAGTTGACTTCCATAGTAGACTTCTTGACAACCATAAAAGCTTTGTCCTCCTATTCCGGAGCCTTCTTGTTATTGTCCTGGTGAATTTTTGACGTCTAAGTGAGAGACACAAAGTATAGTAAATAAAACTGTCAATATTGTATAGGACATTATTAGATGAGTTTAGCTCAACTTACACAATTTAGCAGGGTATGACCAGATTGCTTGCATTGTGAGCAGCTGTATACTTTGTGCAGCTTCCTTGGCTTCTTGCTTTTCCTCCTAGAAATTTCTAGCCATGATTGCCACCGAGACTTCTTCCATCTGCCTGGTTTGCGGCGAATGTCTGGTGGCAGACATATTGATGGTTGGACTCCTTGGACCTCTGAAATTTGGGGATATATGTTGGCAGAGTATGCAGCAAACAAGTAGTTTTTTGAGTAAGTCGGACATACAAGGGAATCCACAGCTATCCCACTGGCTAATGCAGCTGCAATAACATGTGAACATGGGATCTTCTCGATATAAAACACACCACATTCACACATTCCATGTTCCAAATCAACAATACAATTCCTGGTTCCTCCTTTCACATAGTATCTCCAAGTGTCAATTCGGTCCACCTCCATTGCATCTGCATAATGTCCACGAATCGCCAGCAAATACTCCACTCCCCGAGTATTATGTGTTGTGAGACTCAAAGCATCCTCTCTGCATTTTAAAAACCACCGACCGAGCTTCTCTCGTATGAAATCCAAGAGGAATGAAATGGGATAGCCACGGGCCTTCTTAAGTGCAGCATTTATAGATTCTGCGACATTTCTAGTCTTAATATTGTATCTGTCTCCAACAAAATGAACTCGGGACCAAAGGGAGACATCGGCTTCTTCCAAATAGTCAGCAAGGTCAGGCTTGATCTGTCTCAGCTCCGCCATGTACCGGTTGTAGTCATAGAGGTTGTAAGCATAAGCCACACGTTTTACCAAGTACAGCAACTGCTTCCCCCTAAACTTTGTTACTATGTTATGTTGTAGATGGTAGTATCATATCCCTCGTTTTGCCCATGGGAAAATAGTTTGACAAGCTTTCTTAATAGAAAGATGTCTGTCAGAAACTATCACCAAAGGATAACCATCTGAGACACATTCACGCAGTTTAGAAAAAAACCATTCCCATGAAGCATCATCTTCACCATCAACAATTCCAAAGGCCAAAGGAAAAATCTGAAAGTTTCCATCTTGTATGGTGGCAACCAACAAAGTACCTTCGTATTTCCTTGTTAGATGACATCCATCAACCACAATAACTCTTCTCATGTACTGAAAACCGGCAATCGATGCTCCAAATGCGAGAAATAGATATTTGAATTTGTTATTCGAATCTACATGAAGAGCTGATACAGTTCCCGGATTGGCTTTTTTCACTGAATGTAGGTAAGCTGGGAGACTCGCATATCCATCTTCAGCTGTTCCTCTGACCAATAGTTGGGCATATATCAAAGATCTGTATGAAGTAGTGTAATCCATCTTGATACCAAACATCTTCATTGAAACCCTGACATGTTCTGGTGTAAGTCCATCAGTGATGCCCAAATGGCTTATAAACAGCTTGCCAATATACTTAGGAGTAGACTTTTCACGCTGAGCCATTCGATGGGCTATTGAACATGTTTGGTCTTTCACATATTTTGTCACCCAAAAAGTTGATGCATCATTCTTCACGCCCGCTCTAACTATCCAAGCACATCCTTCCACTCGACATTTAGCCACAAACAGGGTCTTGGTAGACTTCTGTGTTTTAAAAGCAAATTTTAACATTATCGCAGTCAATCTAACCTCTGATAACAGCTTCTCTTTTGTAGGGAGACTTGTCCTAACATATATATTATCAGACAATGATATGAGCGTGCTTCCTGTTTCACCATATCTGTTTCTGACATTTTCAATACAGACTTCATCTTCATCATCATCTTCATCTTTCACTTTACCGTAGACACTGAAATCTTCTCCGTCAGAGTAAGCTGCATCGTCGACATCTTCTCCATCCTTGTTCACATCAGAACTGTCTGCCTCATCATCGGTAGAATGTTCTGAATTTTCCTCAGACTCCTCACCTAAATCTTCATCTGATCCTTCCTGGTTATCCTCAGTATCCATCTCCAATCGAGTGGACACACAAAGACGTACTATATGCATTATGCTTAACGCAATCAAGCTTGAAACTTGTCTATCATTGGTGACAAGCATTGGAGGTGTATCTGGAGCCATAGTTTGCAACATTGACACTGGTAGTGAGTAGGTTAACTCGATCAGCTCAGTCTTCTTGCCCAAGTTATAATCATCTCGCGCCATCTCAGTAAGCTCCCCCAAGGTGCAACCATCATTCAAAAACCACATTCTTCCACCTTTGCCCATGTCAACAACAAAATGCCATGAATTCTCCGCAATCTTCCACTCCCCGTACACAATTGGAATTTGAGCCATTCTCTGAAAAAATAACCATATAAACCATATTAGCAAACACTGCATACAGACTTTTTGTATCAAGAGTAGACATCTCCCGAAAAAAACATTAGTAAACTACACGACGAAGTCTACTTTGATAAGCTAAGTAGCTTAAAAATCAAAACTTATGATTCAACAATAAATATCGAATGAAATGAAATGAAATTCACTGGGTAGTTCAATCACTTACTAAGAAGCAATTCTAATCCAAAAAAATTGAAAAATACTTTTTAAATTTGCCTAAAACGCGTTTTTTAAAAAACGTCAAAAAGTAGACTTCTATAGCAGACTTCAAATGTAGACTCGAGGAGAAGTCTACTTTTTCATAGAGAAGTCTACTAATGAAGTCTACTAAAAAACAGGTCATTTTTGCAATTGACCAATCTGTTGATTTTTCCTTCAATAGACTTTAGAAGTAGACTTCCGTCCAAAAATGTTACTTTAGCATTTGACCGATGCATTGACTAACAAAGTAGACTTCTATTGTAGACTTCATGTAAGAGTAGACTTCTTTGACAGTCTACTTTTGAAGTCTACTTTTTTAATAGAAGTCTACGAAACAAAAGAGGTTATTTTTGCAATTGAATTTTTTTAGTAGACTTCACAATGAAGTCTACTAAAAAACGTTTCCTTCTAAGTTTGACCGAAAAATATAAGTAGACTTCACAAAGAAGTCTACAAACTGTAGACTTCTTTGGGAAGTCTACCGAAGTTTTTCGGAATTTTTTTAATTTTTTAATTTTTAAAAAACAGTAGTCAAACACTAAAATGACCTATACGTTTTTGGTCAAACTACAAAAGTAACTTTAAGGTAGACTTTTTATGCAGACGTAAATAGTAGACTTCATACGGAAGTCTAAATCCAAAAGTCAAAATACGGTCAACTACAAAAATAACCTCTTTTCTTTACTAGACTTCTTGAGCCTTCAAACGAAGTCTACTAAGCTTTTTTTGTTTTCAAAGGATGTCGAGTAGACATCTCGTGAAGTTTAACGAAGTCTACTTTTAAGAAGTCAATTGCAAACATAACCTTATGTTGACTAGTAGACTTTAGTATAGTTCACGAGAAGTCTACTTTCGCGATAAAAAAACTGAAATGTGGAGAAATTGAAGTGCGAGGATTACATTTAACAAAATTGAGCTCACCTAAGTTTCTTTTAAGCACCTAGAACTCAGGATTTCACCGAAATTAAACAACCCAGGTGTCGAGTAACCAGAAATCACCGAAAAAGCATGGCCCGACGCATTGTAACTTAGCCTAGATGTTTTGGAGAAGAAATTATGAAAGAATGAGCAAGGTTATGAGTGAATGAGCTCAGATATTTACTTATTACAACTTTAAAATTGGTTGAGAAGCATTTATTCTCATTTTGTGGTTGTTCATGGTGGTTGAAAGATTTGAAGAAGATGACATTTTCGTAAATAAATGGTCTTTAGGAGGACCTAGGAGACTTTACCCAAATTAAAGAAAAATCGAAATAGTAGATGTATAATGACATTTTCGTTAATAGTTTAGGTGGGAAGGATAAAATTGTGAAAAAATGGCAAAAGTTGGAGAAAGAAAAAAAAAGAGATTAGTTTGGTGCTTAACTTTGAAATATGAGTTAAATCTGAAACTCTTCCTTATTTAATTGCGTTCATATATATGCATTTATATGAATATGCATGAGTTCTATCTTTATGAGAGAATTAATGTAAATAAAATATTATAAAATTGTTATCAATGTATAGAGAGAAAAGAAATATAATTCATAGTATGAAAAAATGTCAAATTATTTTTTTAATGAAAATAAATAACTATAAAAAACTGTGGGAAACTAACTATATAAAAAATTAAATTATTTTCTTTGTAGACTAAAATAAGGATGTTTTAGTCACTTTTTAATTATTTTAAGTATCAAAAAGTAAGAAAAATGTGTCTAAAAGTCAATAATGTACATTAATTAATGGACATTAAGAGTCCAGAAGTGCATCAAAAAATAACGCTCTCTTTAAATTTTGTTTGCTTTATATACTTTCCCAACTTATGTAGAAATATTTTCGTTTTGACTTGATGATCTTAACTAGTATACAATACATGGTTTGGCAACACAAAAATAATCTAATATACACTACATAAGTTAGGGACTTTGAACAAAACAAATGCATAAAAAAACAATATAAAACATCAATTTAAGGAACAAACAAATTTTATAGAAGAATTGATTTTGTTTAGTTTTGGTAACACAACGACACCCAATCGTCAATACCAAAATTTTGTACATATTACTTTGAACCTAAAAGTCTCTTTTAAAATCAGAACCTCACTGTACAACAATACCTTTTCCAGCTTCAACACTAAAATCAAATACATGCTCTGATATATTCCCACTATAATTCTAATGAACAGTCCTACTAGTGCCATATCCAAAACACAGAAGCAACATCCAGAACACACTTAGCCAAAAACACAGTTATCTTTTCAAGACTGGTAAACTTGACTCTGTGGTGAACAACATTAAGGGTGAGGAAGAATGGCATACCAGCAATGGTGAAATAGAAGAAAAGAACATCCAGTCGGTATCTGGCTGTTTCTGCTTCAAGAGTGCAATGTCTCTGTTTCTTTCCCTTCTTTTGTTGGATTTGTAAGGTAGTTCAAGCTTCAAGTTTGGGGTTCTAATAGTGAAACGTCCGTGACAAGGACGAGGTAACAAAACGGCTTGTACTAGAACCAACAGCACATGGTTTCAATATGACTCCAATGCTCTGAAATGGTGGTCTGGGGAAGAAATAGTGGTAAAATGAGCCAGAGTGGACATGAATCTGTAGTAGCAGAAATATTTAATACATAAGCGAATTCCATATAATATAAACTGGAAAATTGAGTAAATCGCCTATTTCAGCCCCAAGATTGAGTAGAAATAGTTAAATTCGTTTGCAACAAAAAATGGCGGATTGTGACACGAAATTCACTAGCAAGTTGCATCTTAGAGAGTGGGTATTCTTACCGATCTAAGTAATAGTAAGTTGGTGCCACATAGAGTGGAGGTCTTTCACTAAATGAAATCTGACTTCTTTACCGTACAAGCTCGCCTTGTACATTCTCATAAACTGCAGCTTTTTCATACTTTAAATCTTTCATCTCTTCTCAACGTTTCTCCCACTTCTGATACTTTAAACGAAATGCCGAACAAATTCTCAGTACCCTGAAAAAATATTTTAAGAGCCCTGGTTTATGCAAGGAAACAAATTCACTTTTTTAAAAACATTTATAAGGATGCTAAAAAGTAAAAACTTACGGTTAGACCAATAAATACGTCGCAACCCTCCCTAGTATCCATCAAGAATTGATGCTGTGCATGCTGGTGAATGAACGGTCCAAGAACTATTTCTCTGCCTAGTTTTTGCAGCACATGGTGCATATTTATGACTCTCTCTTCTGATATTTGTATCAGAGACTTAGTAAATAGAGTCTTAAGACCAGCTCTAACATCCAACTCATTTTCTTCTAATAATCGCATCACATTCTTATACGTTTCATTATTCAGAAAGCAAGCAATATGACGAAACAACGTTTTCTCGTTCCCATTTAAACTATTGCAATGCACTATTAATGTTTTCTCAGTTTCAGGGTTTAGACTATTACAAACTCTGGGCAGCATTTCCATTCCATCCACATCGAACTCTTTTAGTATAATTTTTATATTATAAGAAATATCATCAGCTATCATTCGAATTAAATCTGCTTCGGAATCCCTGATAGGAAGAAAGATGATGGCACAATCAAAATGGACAAATCAGGCAAAAATGATGGCACAACCAAAATGGCACAACCTTTAAATTGGGCCGAAAACCTTTTACCTGAACCTTAGCCTTTATGGGTTTTTAATATATTCTTGAATTATGTTGATATTAGTGACGACAAAAAAAAAAGAAACATAAAATATTAGTATTCTTGGAAAGCAGAGCCTAAATCAATGATTTTTAGATGTTTGTACTTTGAACAATTTGATTGATTGAAAGTAATTAATTAAGCGATAATGGATGGAACATGCTTAATGAGAAACGTGATGTAGACTTAGGGTGTGAATGGCGACATACGGGCGGCGGTACGTTTTTCTAGTTTAATTATCAATTCTGCTCATCTATTACCATTCAACAAGTTTGAACTAATTGTAGTGCGTTTTCTCAGTCTTTCATTTTTTATTAAAATATTAGTATAACATATTAGTTTGTGAAGCAAAACTAAAATACGCACAGGACAGTAGTTACGCACCTATTTTGATACGCATTTTTTTTAAATGAAAAAATTAGATATTTTAATTTTATTGAGATATTTAATTTTGTTCAAAAATATTAAGTTTGATCTTTTAAAATATTTACCACTTATTTAGTGTGAATCGCATTTGTTCTGCAAATATATTTTTCCGCACATACCATGATTTAACCGTACCATGCTCTTAAATCGCTTTTCCAGCATAGCAGAAAATATTGTCACCATTCGAACCCTTATGTTCAAGTTTTAGTGTTTTGTTTGATTCACAAAATATATTTTCTCAAATTTTATTAGCTGATATCTCCTATCCACCTACTATTTACTTTCTGCTTTTACATTTTTCTTGAAAGTAAAAAAAAAAAATACATTTTTCTTTTCATGTAACATCAAGGGTGCATCATTTTACTTGCTTTTTGTCTTGTAAGAAAAATTATTTCATTTACTCTAATCATTTTTTATTTGATTGAATTTTTGGATATAGTTTAATTTCTTCTTTGCATAGTTTTAATGAAGTGTTTTTGGGTAAAAAAAAAAATTCATCGAAGGGAAGATGTATACAGTATATCTATATATATATATATTTATGTCTTGGTATTACAACAACACCCCAACCCCAATATTTAATCAAAATTTTATACATTTTTATACCTAAACTCTTCTTTCACTATCAACCAGAGCATGACTGTACAACAATAACTTCTCCAGCCTCATCACAACCAAAAATCCCCAAATCCCACAAAATGAAAATTCAATAATCACAAAAAAAAAGAGAAGGAAAATTGTTTTTGTATCTTCTAAGGACTTACTCACAACAAACAGGACATCTGATCAATCCATTCTCATTACAATCTGGACATCTTTGAAATCCATACTCTGTTTCTTCTTCTTCTTCTTCTTCATCCTCATAATACACTTTGCAGCTCCCTGAACACGTCTCACACGGCACAAACCGAATATCTCCACAAGCCTCACATTCATTCCCGCATCTTTCGCAGCCTTCTATAAGCTTTTCGAGTGTCCCATTTTCATTCAACTTCTTTATCTCCTCGACTCCTCCAATATACTTGTTCCCAAAGAAAACTCTAGGTAGGGTTATTCCAACGCCATTGTTGAATTCATCCCTCAATAGCTTCTTCAGCTCATCTTTGAAACCCGAATGCATCGATACATCTCGCTCATCGACACAAACTCCTAAGCTTTTTAGTATTACACGAACATTGCAACAGTCTTCGTATGTCTTCCTTATACCTCTAAGGGTTGTGAAGTAAAGTATCAACTTTTCTGACTTTCTTTTGCAGTTTGCTTCTTTTTCTTCTTCATCTGATGATCCGAATTGCGGATTCGATTTCATTTCTGGAACCCGGATATGGAAAGGATGATCATTTGGGAGTTCTTGAAGCGATTTCCTGAAATTCGAAACGATCTCAGGAGGATCCAAATCATCAAATCTGCTTTTGGGTTTCACATTCTCGTGAAACCTTGATTTGGGTCGATCAAACAGAGCAGGACAATCATCATCATCATTACAAGGTTGGATACGAACAACATCAAACGAGAAGCTTCTCAAATGATTCGGTGATGATCTTAATGGACTAACATCTTCAAGACCTTCCATCAATTCCCACGTGTTGATCGTCTCTGGCTCTCCAGGAGGAGTCACAATCGGAGTTTTAGGAACAATCTTAGGGATTTTCTCGTTCATCATACTTGACCAAACCTTGGCTTCCATGATCTTAGCCTGTAAATTACTCTGTTCCTCTCCGTGATGAAACCCATTACCGGAAATTAGCTTCTTTTCGCCCAATTCGTCGGAGAAGAGTCGCTTTTCGTTGACGCCTTCCAAGTGTTTGTGAATATGCCTGAAAGGAGATTCGGAGAGGCTGAGAGATCCGATGGTGGAGGAAGTGAGAGCCACCGTGTGATAGCTATCTCCGGTGTGTTGCGCCGGATGATGAACGTGCATTGAGTAGCTTCGCGGCACAACCACCGGAGATAATCCTCCACGGCAGTTACGGCAACGTTTTCGATTCTTCGAGCTTGCACAACCCATTTTGATTCGGAAATCGATCAATCAAATCAAAAAGCAGAGGAAGGAAAAAAAAGGTTTGATTTTTGGACCGAGATTGACGCAAGGATTAGATTTGGAGACAAAGGGATTTGCTAAATTCGATGAGATGTCATGAATTTTGGCGAGCTTTGTGAAAAAAGGTAATAGCTGGAAACAAAAAAGCGACAGTTAGAAATGCGATCTAGAAAAAGACGAAAGAAAGAGAAAGCAGAGCCTTTTTTTTCTTTTTTCTTATTCTTTTCTTTTCCTTTCCTGAGAAACCGACAGATCGTAAAAAAAGAAAAATGAATATGAAATTCTGTGTTTTTCTTATTTGGACAGTTCCGTCAAAACAGAGATGAGTCGTAGATCAAACAGAGAGGGGGAAATTTGGGTAATTCATGAACGATGAATCGATGGAAAAGTTGAAAATTTTTCTGGGGAAATTTTAGAGAAAGCAAAGAAACTCGAGAGGGACTAACTAGCAAAGCGAATCTCCATGATCATCATCTTCACCTTCCTCTTCGTTGGACGGTGTGGCTGTATGGTCCCACTCTCTATCTCTCTCTCTCTTTAAAAGTTGCAGAGGGAGAAGACTATGGTATGTAAGGAAAATGAAATTTTGTGCATTAAAGAGAGTTTTTTTTTTGTAAGATTTATGTTTTGAATTGACTCTTGCTTTTGTGATGTCCTTTTTTTTCTCACACGATAAAACTTAGTATATTTATTTTATTAAACTGATTCTTCTTTTATTTACTTAGATTAGGAAATCTTATGATAAAAAAGTTGGAAACATATTTGTGTTTTTGACATGATAGGAACATATTTTTGGCAAAAGGAAAAGACTAGGAAATATATTCAACCCTTCTTTGAATTCTCTATCTTCTTCCGGTCACGGTTCTATATATAAACACTAGTTTTAAAGTTTTGAATTTTTTTTTTTTTCATTTCATAAAGATCATTTGAAAATCTAGATTTGGCGTTGGCTTGAACTCGAATTCGAAGTTAATGAATAGATACCTAAGATATTTAGATGCTAGTGAAACAAATTTGATATATAATTAAATAAAAGAAAAAAAAATTTCTACAAGTTTACCATTAAGTTTTGTGGAATGAGTACATATATTTTATCGTGAATACAATGCCTAAGCAAAGTATATTGGTATCCTTCAACAAAAGTAGCAAATTATTAATAAATCTTAATATATTTAGTTTAAATTAAATCAGAAAATGGACTCACCACAATTAGATATATCTAATTCTAACTAAATCAGAATGGAAGTTGTATTCTTAAGTCCAAAATCATTGAAGTTTTGGATAAGCTTAACATATTAATTTATTTAAATAACCCATTAATAAATATAAAATTAATGGTAATTCTATATATACTTACAAAAGTAAGGTTTTATGTATATTCCCATTTCAAAGAACAAGAAAAACTCCTACAATTACTTTCATAACCACAACTAAACAAAATACAAAACGTTAGATTCGCAAACAAATTTTATGTGTTCCTATCAACTTTTTTTTTTTGAACAAATCCTATCAACTTACTTGAATTTTCTTTTTGATTCAAATTTTATTTATTATTATAAAACCAAATTAAGAAGCAATTGACAAAACACATCCCCGTGCCCTTTTGGGATTTCTCACAAAGTTATTAAGATATATTCAAAGATATATGATAAACAAATAATTTTGCTAGACTGTCAAAAGAAAATGGGAACTACAAATATAAAAAAGTTTCACATGATGTGGACTTTAAATAAAGATGGTAAAGATTAAGGAAGGGGATGTGACATTAGTAGTTACGTAACTTTCTCGTGTGGTTAAAAGGTCTTTATCATTTGGTTGTGTGGTAACATCTCTTATCATAACTTCGAATTATAGGCTTATATCATAATCTTTAGATTTTGATGCAATGACCAACGAAATGATGCATCCAACCGCCATGAACAAATAATACGTTCAAATACTATATATGTTCTGAAATAATATGTTTCCAGCGTGAAACAATCACTCACTTTAGATTACCACATATATCCGATCACACGTTAATGGGCTAAAGCTTTAGTCTCATCGTCCTTGTAGTGAATATTAAATAAATAGCTTATTTAGTGAAAGAACTGATGAAAAAGAAAAGTGATAGTTCTTTATTATCTTCTAACTTTTAATAGACAAATAACAGTGGAAGACAAATCCAAACTTGCATTTTGATGAACAAGTAAAACATCATGAATTGAAATCATATTTAGTAAAAATTATTGAAATTGTAAAACATTTTAAACGAAATTTTTAAAAAATTAAACCTCCTTTTTAATTTTGAATTATTTTGCTATATACTAACATAAAAGACTCTTTAATGGGTCGTCTTACTTCTATTTAGCATTAAAGTCATGAGTACAAATTATACGAAAAATTTTATTTAAATACCCTTTTATGGGTCGTCTTACTTCTTTTTAGTGCTCGAGATCTAGGCACTGCATCAATTTAAAATGTATCACCTGTATAAGTCGATCTATAGTTATATGAACTGTTATAATTTATAATTAGAGAGAGTATCAGATTTAACCCATATTTCAAAGTCAAACACCAAATTAATTTCTTTTTTTTTCTCTCTCCAACTTTTGCCATTTTCTCACAATTTTATCCTTCTCACTTAAATTATTAATGAAAATGCTATTATACATCTATTATTTCGATTTTTCTTTAATTTGGCTAAAGTCTCCTTGGACCTTCTAAAAATCTTTTTATTACGAGAATGCCATCTTCTTCAATTTCTTCAACCACCATGAACAACCATGAAAATGGAATAAATGCTTCTCAACCAATTTTAAAGCTGTAATAAGTAAAGATTTGAGCTCATTCACTCATAACCTTCCTCATTTTTTCATAATTTCTTCTCCAAAACATCTGGGCTAAGTTACAATGCCAAAAGTCATGCATTTTTGGTGATTTCTGGTTACTTAACATCTGGGTTGCTTATTTTTGGTGAAATCCTGAGTTCTGGGTGCTTAAAAGAACTGTAGCCGAGCTCAATTTTGTTAAAGGTAATCGTCGCACTTCAATTTCTCCATATTTCAGTTTTCATATCGCGAAAATAGACTTCTCGTGAAGTATACTGAAGTCTACTAGTCAACATAAGGTTATTTTTGCAATTGACTTTTAAAAGTAGACTTCATTAAACCTCACGAGAAGTCTACTCGATATCCTTTGAAAACAAAAAAAAGCATAGTAGACTTCATTTGAAGGCTTAAGAAGTCTACGAAAGAAAAAAAGTTATTTTTGTAGTTGACCGTATTTTGACTTTTTAATGTAGACTTCTTTCTAAAGTCTACTGTTTACGTCTGCACAAGAAGTCTACTTTTGAGTTACTTTTGTAGTTTGACCAAAAACGTATAGGTCATTTTAGTGTTTGACTAAAGTTTTTTAAAAATTAAAAATTCATAAAACTCCGGAAAGCTGCAGTAGACTTCAGAAAGAATTCTAAAAACTGTAGACTTCTTTGGGAAGTCTACTTATATTTTTCGGTCAAACTTAGAAGGAATCTTTTTTTAAGTAGACTTCACAGTGAAGTCTACTCAAAAAATTCAATTGCAAAAATAACCTTTTTTTTTCGTAGACTTCTATTGAAAAAGTAGACTTCAAAAGTAGACTGTCAGAGAAGTCTACTCGTACATGAAGTCTACAATAGAAGTCTACTTTGTTAGTCAATGCATCGGTCAAATGCTAAAGTAACCTTTTTGTCCGGAAGTTTACTTCTGAAGTCTACTAAAGGAAAAGTCAACGAAATGGTCAATTGCAAAAATAATCTGTTTTTTAGTGGACTTCTTTAGTAGATTTCACTATGAAAAAGTAGACTTCTTCGCCAGTCTACGTTTGAAGTCTGCTTTAAAAGTCTACTTATTGTAGTTTTTTTAAAAACGCGTTTTAGGCAAATTTATAAAGTATTTTTTTATTTTTTGGATTAGAAATGCTTTTTATGAAGTGATTGAACTACCCAGTAAATTTCATTTCATTTTATTCAATATTTATTGTTAAATCAGAAGTTTTGATTTTTAAGCTAGTTAGCTTATTAAAGTAGACTTCTCCAGCAGTCTACGGATGAAGTCTGCACACGAAGTCTGCTCGGTATCTTATTTTAAAAACAAAATTACAGAATATATATAAATTATTTTTTTGTATTTTTAGGTTTTGGAATGTGTGTTACCAACTGGTCTAATTACTCAATGAGTTTCATTTGTTTTAAGTCGATATTTATTGTAGAATCAAATTTGTTGATTTAATAGCTAGTTAGCTTGGAAGAATAGACTTCATCTCCAGTCTACAGACGAAGTCTCCTATATAGAAAATTTGTTACTTACATTTTTGCAATAATGTAGTTTGTAATTTTGTTTGCTAATATGGTTTTGTGTGTGTTTTATTACAGAAAATGATCAACTCCATAAGATTGTAGAGTCATTTTTAAGTTCTCTTGTTAATAACACTAACCTCATTCTTCTGTTTTTTTTTTCTTTTTTTTTGGATTTGACATACTTTGTGATTTTAAAACTGATGCAACATTCAGTTACTTCAAAAAATTTGTGACATTGAATAAACATGTAACACCAATTCATTCTTCTTCTATTTTGTGGTTTTAAAACTGGTGCAAAATCAGTCACTTAAAATTTTTATTTAGAATTAGTTTATGGAACTTTTCTTTGCACCATACTCTGAACCATTATATTTTGTCCATATAGAATAATTTGATTATGTTACATATTTGATAAAGATACATAAAAGTAACGGTTGATGACAATTAAAAGACTACTACAGTTGATGATTATTACAGTTAATGACCATTACAGAAAAAATTGATAATCATTACACAAAAAAAGATCATGAGCAAACAGAAGATCAATTATTTACTTATTGGGTTCTGTTTTGTAAATGAGCTTAATTGTTGTGTTGGGCACTTGGGCCTGTTAGGACAAAACTCTCTACCCGTCTCGATGTCGATGGTGGAGAAAATAGAGATGACGGTGAAGAATTTTTGAGATTTGTGAGATACTACAAATGAAAGAAGTCAACTTAAGAAGTCTGCTTTCGAAATCAACTCAAGAAGTCTGCTTTCGGAGATGACAGTGATGAATTGTTGAGATTTGTGAGATACTGAAAGGGAAAGGAGTAAAAATTAAACATCAACCCAAGTAACAAATCTAATAAAGAAACTCATAATCACAGATCTGATTACTAAACTAAATCAAATTAGTTCTGACACTCAGATCTTAGTACATTATGAATAAAAAAAAAATTCAAAGTGGATCCCAATTAAATAAAACCAAAATTTCTGGACAAAACATCAGCTAATAAGTAAAAAGAAGAAACTTGAAAAAGCTAACAATTTGAACCAGACATCAAAGCCATACCCAGAAAAAGCTGCACGGCGGTGAGGAAGTCGACGGTGGACCTCTTTTGTTGCTCACTATGTTGAGGTCACCTACAGTGAAGATCAAACAAACGTTTTCCTAAAAGCAAAAAGCAGAGTATAATCTAAAGAGAGATTTCTAACCTGAAACAGCATAGAAAAAGACCTCGTGTACAGCTCGTTCGCAAGCAGATCTAAAAAAATCGATTTTCTCGTTGAATCTGAAACAGAGGGAAGCGCCGTTTTAGAGAGAGAGGTTTGAGTTTTCATTTTTACAAAATTAGGGTTACAAACGTGGGCTTCATTTATATAGGGAGGTACAAATTTTGGTTAAATGAATAATTTTTGGTTCAGAATTGTTGGTTCAATTTTGGTTTATGTATTGGTTAAATAATTATTTTTGATTTTTTTGGTTAAGATAAATATTTATCGGTTTTGTTTAGTTTCTCTTGGTTAAAGGAAGTTATTCCCGGTTTAATTTCAGTTTAAATTTCGATTAGATTAATTTATTCGGTTAAGTAGACTTCAATATAGAAGTCTACAACTTTTAAAACTTAAATAATAATTTTACTTCTACTTAATTTAAAAACATACATTTCCATTTACCAATATGAAAAAATAATTTCTGTACATTTGGGTTACGATTACGGAATTTATGAATATAAATTTGATACCAAATAATTTTTAAAAAATTTTAAAATTAAATTTACATATTTAATTATTTAGTAGATTTTATTTCGATAAAATGAAGTCTACTATTAGACTTCTTTTTCACTTTAGTAGACTTCGTCATGGTGTAAATGGTAATTAGGACATCCGTTTTTTGTTTACTCATACAGGTTTAAATGGTCTTTTCACTACCCTTTAAGTTATTTCTGCTAAATGTTTTCTCAGAGATCTACTTTTGTATTCAAAATCAAGTTTTGGGTTATTTTTAGCAAAAACCCTTTATAATTATCATCCTCACATTCATATTCTTTTTTTTTTTACTGGCTTATTGTAGCTTCTCCTTTGATATTTCTGTTTTGACGTGAATCTTGAGTGGGACTCGAAAGATTGTGTCCCATTCTGAATAGCTGTCTCCACAAATTAAGTCGTCACTTGTTCCCATTTCGTCATTTTTTGCTTAATCTCTTTCTCTTGTGTTGTTGTCACTGTCAACGATCCATCTTGTTCTCATTCTCCTTCTTGATTTTAGAGCTGATTTCTTGTAACTCAATCAACGTCTTTATCACCTCTTGCTTATAAATTTGGGAAAAAACCTTAAAAATACCTGAAGTCTTAAAAATTTGTCAGAAGAATACCTGACCTATTTTGGCTTCCCAAAAAATACCCAACTTATTTTTGAGTGTTGATTTAATTTCCATACATTCAAAAACTGCTATTTTCACTCTCCGTTTTTAATTCCGTTTATCCGTTAAACGGAAACACTAAAACGGTGTTAAAAATTTAACACCACGTGTTATTATTGTAGGTGAAAAGACCAAATATAACCCCTGCTCGTCTTCTCTCATGTTCTTCCCCAAAAATCGATTTTTCCCCAAATTAAATCCTAATTCGATTTTCTCCTAAATCAAACCTTAAATCGATTGTTCCCCAAATCAAAGCCAAAAGCAAGGTAAATTGAAATACCCAAAATCGATTTTCTCTCACGAAATTGATCTTTTTCCTCGAAGTCGAACTTCGTTCTCACGGTGACTTCGTTTAGCTATATGAGACGAAGATTTTTGAGAGTCGGAGGATGAGGTCAGGTATAGAAATTTATAAAATTGGGCTGTATACTCTGGTTATGTGTGTCGATTATGAAGTTTGGTTTGTTAGTATATCAAATTTCTTCTTCGATAGAATATGAGATTTTTGAGTGACATCTCATATTTATCTTTCGATAATGCAGCGTTACCATAAAAATCAATTTGGAGGGCTTATGTACATCAACTATTCTCAGGGTGTAAACAGGAGAATTTGTGAAGAAGGGATTACAGTCGATCCAGATTTTGTGACTTGGAGCATCTTCGATTTGTGAAAAACATAACTTAAGAGTGTGATGAAATCGACAGAGTGGATGAGAAGTGTTACGATGAGTGAAAGAAGCTAAATTGCGAACACACCACATAGAGAAGAGAATAAAAGTGAAGAAAGAAAAATAGAATTAGAGTTCTTCAATTTGGGAAACACTAAATATCTGTTGAATCAATTTTGAATGGGTAATAGAGGTCTTTTCACATACAATTAACACATGTGGTGTTAAATTTTTAACAGTGTTCAAGAATTTCCGTTTAGCTGATAAACAGAGGTAAAAATGAGAAGTAAAAATAGCAGTTTTTGAATGTATGGGAATTAAAACGACACTCCAAAATACGTTGGATATTTTTTGGGAAGTCAAAATAGGTCATGTATTTTTCTGGCAAATGTTTAAGACTTTGGGTATTTTTAAGGTTTTTTCCCTATAAATTTCCATGGAGGACATAACCTTATCATACCAATGGTTTTTTTATTATTAAAAAAAGACTGTTATTGACTTATTGATAAAGACAAAAAAATGGCAGAGATTTGATTTGCCTTGCAACCAAGAACGTCCAAGATCTTTCTTTTATTCGTTGCTTAGCTTTCCAAATTTGCTAATCTTTGATTCTACAATACCCATTGCGTGAAATATAATTTCTGCATTGCTGTTTTGAAGTCTTTCAGAGTTTTAGATGAAACCATGCATTGATGAGTCAGTGCATCTCTCTTCTATTAAAGCTTTCAATTTGTCAAAGAAAAGCCCTTCAATTATATTCTTGTGTCGTCGCCAGAGACTTCATCTCGAGGTGCGATAACATTTCGAATATCGAACCTCCAGAAGAAGTCACCGGGGACAAAACTAGAGTCTTTTTGATTGCTTCTGCCCTGCCGGGACAACTGATTTCCTACGCGTGGGAGGGACCGAAAAATACATGCCCTTATCAATAAACTAAACGGACACCCAGGCAAAAGCGTGGTTTAACGGACCCACCTTGCTTCTCAGTATAACCCGCTATCTCGTTTTAGATCTT